AGCTAAAGGCCCAGGGAGCCTGGAGAGAAAGATGACTGCCTAATGATTCTCCGAGGAGCCTCCTTGGAGGACATCTGTGCCTTTGTAGAAGGTATAGATACTGTTCTCCAGGGACCTCTCAGCCTCCGGGTCACACTGGGAGTAGAGGAGGAAAAAGTTCACCCTCTTCCTCAAGCAACTCCCCACTATTTCTTTTTTTAATTATTTTTTGAGGCAGGTTCTCAGTCTCTCACCCATGCTGTAGTGCAGTGACAGGATCTTGACTGACTGCAACCTCTGCCCCACCGGGGTTCAAGCGATTCTTGTGCCTCAACCTCCCAAGTAGCTAGGACTACAGGCATGATCCACCATGCCCAGCAAATTTTTGTATTTTTTGTAGAGATGGGGTTTCACAATGTTGGCCAGGCTGGTCTCAAACTCCTGACCTCAAGTGATCCTCCTGGCTCTGCCTCCCAAAGTGCTGGGATTTCAGGTGTGAGCCAACGCACCCGGCCATCCCCAACATTTTAAAATTCATTTTTCCTTTGTCTTAACAACAGCCTAGCTCTCCCATCCTTGAGAACCCAAAATGCAAAACCTATGCTATGCATCGAATCCAAACCTAAGTTTTATTTTTATGAGGCTGACTGCCTCTTCTCTATTTTGTGTTCTGCCGATTAGGAAAAACAAAACAAAAAATAAAAAAATAGTAAAAGAAATAAAAAGAAAAAAGGCTAAAGTAAAAATCAAGGAGGGACTGGTGGTATTTCTAATTTCATTCAGTCATTCACTTATTTATCTTTAAGTCTATGAAGGTGTTTCCCCCTAAAGGCAGACAGTGAATATTTTATTTTAATCTTGTAGTTTCCATCCAGACAGACCTTTTAACCCTTCATCTTCCAGCTCAGCCCGAGTCCCTCTCGCCAGGCGATCCTCCGTCGGAGGTCTGGGACTGTATTAAGTCTCCCTCTTCGAGCTGTTTGTTGACCACATTCACGTTCAGAGCCCTGGAGCTAAAAGCACTTTACACCATAAAATAAAAGCACTGTCTTTTTTTCTAAAAGGTTACGTCTGGAGGCCACGCGGCTCATACTTCATACCGAAAACTACTGAAAGGACTATGAAATCCTGTATGATTTACACTCTCTCACTGCATTAGGGTATAGATCTACTCGACTCTAAAAATACGGTGGGTTTCTAACCGACGTGAATATATGTGCATTATTTCAGAAAGTCTGTTAGAAAACTTGTCAACACATTATAAAGCATAAACTAGGACTAGGCTATTAAGTACGGAGATCAGAGGCTGAATATATACTGCAGGAAGTCCTGGGGCGTCTCCTCCGCGGGCAAGATAAAAAGGGGGAGGAGGGAAGGGGAGGGGTCGTCTGCTGGCCTGGAGTTTACACGCAGTGTCGTCACCAAAGGTTTGGGAAAGAGCCCACAGAACGTAATTACCCTTTCAATGGGAGCAGCAACCGCTCTACAGCCCCAAACGAAGTTAACTGAACGGCCGGAAAATAATTTTAACGTTGTCATAATTTATTACTTTCTAAAAGCCACTTCTGGAAAGGTAAATATACTTATTGTGTATCCAAGTGTGCACGTTTAATGTGACCTTTCACCCCCTCTACAAAACCACCTGCATCATTAATCAATACTTATGTAATATTTTAAAATCTCTTAAAACGACACATCTTTCTTTCTTTAAACACATACGAACCCTCCCCTCCCCCACTTTCGGGCGTTTTAGCGAGCATCTAGCAGTGCTGAGGGAGGGGGCGTCGCTGTAGGGGAGAGCACCAGGGACGGGGAGGGGGTCGACAGCTAGGAGGGATCAAATGCCGACACACAGCCCTGGTTTTCTGGACTGGGTGAAATTTGACTGGGGGAGGGGCTGGAGCGGAGGGCAGTTCCCATTTCACCCTGGGCATATTACGATGGTGAAATTAAATATATGTTAATGGAGGAAAGGTCGCTGCTTACCTCTCCATTGGCACCCAGGGAAAGCAGCTGCAAAACTGGCTTTTTAATATATGTTTTAAGATGTGGTTTCGGAAGGAACCCCCTGGAATCTGAAACAAGTGTAATAACATAGCAGACCTACTTGTAACTAAGTGCTTAATTTCCTATGATTCTTTTTTTTAAAAGGAAAATCAATAAAATGTTGCCAGTTATTTATTGGAAATAACCACAGATAGCGGCCCTGATAGGGTGCCGTCGTTAGAGCGCACACAATTGTGTAATGAATTGTAATTCAGAAGACTGTTAAGTGTGAACCACAGAACCTTTCAGAGGTAATAAAGTCATTACTTTTTACACTACAGCCAACCCCGAAAAGCTTTATACACACCATTATATATAAATCATACATATATATATTTCCACAACACTCACTCGCTCGTTTATATATCTTCTCCATAGATGGACTTTTATGGATGGGTAGGAACAATATTCAAATCTGAAAAGCCTGGTTCTGAAAGAATCTGGCTCACCATTGTTACCTGAAGGGGCTTTTCTTTTATTTACTTATTTTTCAAAGGCCTCCCAATTGCAGTTTCTTCTTCCCTCTCTTCACCTGCCCTCCAACCGTGCCCCACTTCTTTCTCCCCAGCCACCCCCCGCGAAGACATTCTTTTGGAGATTCCAAGACTGGTTTAACAAGACAAAAAACAGACTGTGGTGGAATGGAGATGCTGACCTGCTCTGAAGAACTCAGTGAAAAGGGGAAATGGTGTCACACACAAGCTACCGAGCTTAACTGCTAGTGAATATTCCCGCTTCTTAAACAGAATTTGAGGTCTCCTCCCACGCTTAAACTGGAGGGAAACAACAACAAACAACAAACTACACTGACACAATCCCAGTCCAGCCCACATCTCTCTCAGTGTTGAGCATCAAAACCTTTTCTTCCTTAGAGGGGTCCGAAGCTCCGCCGAGCTAGACAAGCCAGTCATTTTCTAACAGTAGACTTGAAACTTTACTAAGACGACCCAGGAATAAACAGCCGCTGGCCCGCAGGGCTGAGAGATGGGTGAGCGCTTGCAAGCCCGGGGCCCTCGCTTAAAACAATAAAGCCCCCCACCGGGTGGGTGAGTTTGCGGAAACGACACCCCACAGACTGAAGAGGGGGATGAGAAGACGGGGGTTGTGGAACCGCTCGGAGGAGAGGGAAGGAGGGTTCCTCGCTCTGCAGACACACTCTCACACATCCACCTGCACTTCAGGGTCTCGAGGGCCGTGGCGACCCGTCTCCACCCCGCACCCTCCGCACCTCCCTTGGACCTGAGTCCATTCTCCTCTTCCCCCCAAGCCCCTTCCCGATTTGGAATCGGACCGCGATCAGCCGGGCGGCGGCGGCGGCTGCAGAGTGGTGCTGGCAGGCAGGGAGGCTGGGAGGCGGGAGGCGCCGGGGGACTTTACAGGCACGTTTCTGAATAAACTTTCCAATCGCAGGGGGTGCTGTTGCTGTACATTTTACGTAAAACTGAAAGTATCCCACGCCAGAGTGAAGCCCGCTTTTTGACAGCGGCAGCACGCGCGTGTGTGTGCGTGTGTGCATTAAAGAGACAGTTTTTTTTTTTTTTTTTTTCCAACAGGTCTTCCCTAATTTCCAGGGAACCTCTACAGAAAGGCGAGAGGGGGCTGCTGGCTCCCGGGTGTGCGCCTTGGCCGGCGGCGCCTGGGGAGCGCGGCGCTGACCCGGGGCGGTCATCTCACCACCGTGGCCTCCCCGCTGCTCCTGCGAGCCGGTCGCTCTCTCTCCATTCCCCATTTTCTCTTTCCCTGGGTAACAGCACAGGAACAGTAGTGCTCCGCCCGTAAGAAACGTTTTCTTTCCATCCCTCTGCTTTTGCAGTTGCTCTGGAGTGGGAGGGGGTGTGTCCCTCCCAGGAACCTGGCTCGGGGACCTCCCGCGGCGCTAGGAGCACGTTCCCAGGGACTGGGTCTCCCGGGACTGCCCGCGCTTTGTCCTCGGCCGCTCAGAGAGGTGGACGCCTCAGTGCCTCTCTCGCCCAGGCCCCCGGCGCGCCCCTCCGGGGGCCAGACTCTGGCTCCTCGTTCTTTATTCCTCGGGCTCTCTTTCTGCAACCCTTAGGAGCCGGGGACCCGGCGCTTTCAGTTGCATTCAGACCCAGTCGCTTGTAGGGGCGCTCAGATCCCCGGTCCCTGGCTCGGCCTTGGGGGCGCCCTTGGGCCCCGGCCTGCGCCGCCTCCCTCTCCTCTGTTCCCTCTTTCCAGGCCGCCTGGGGTCCTAGAGACCCGGGCGCTGCCCTTCCGGACCCGCAACCCTCCAAACTTGGGCTGGATTCCGCGTTGCCGTGCGCTCCCTCCCGCCTCCCCTCGCCCGCTGCGGAGCTGTAACTTGGAGGCTCAGCTCTCAACTTCGGGTGATTTTTCTTTGCTGTCCTCTCCTCGGGCAAAGTTTCCCAAGCGCAGCCGCGGGCTCGGGGCTTTCACTTCGGCCCCTGGCGTCTGCACGCGGGGAGCGAGCGCGGCGGCGGCGGGGAGGGGAAGTGGGTGTGCGTACGGAGGAGGGTGTCCGGGAGCAACTCTACCTGGCTTCCCTCCGCCCGCGCTTCCCCAGCCCAGGGCTGCAGCCTCCCTGTGTTCTCTCTCTCTCTCTCTCTCTCTCTCTCTCTCTCTCTTTTTTAGAATAATCTTTCATTTTAGGGTCCGCGTGTGTGGGGGGGAGCAGGGCGCACGTCTTGCTCCCCCCCACCCTTTCCTCCCACCCCTGCCACCCCTTTCTTCTCTCCCGGCCACGCCACCGCGGCGGCGCTCGCTGCGGCCACTGGTGAGCCCGCGGCCCCAGCGCCCCCTCCCCTCCGCCTGCCCCTCCCCCGGGGGCCGCGTCTGGCGTCCGCGGAGCCCCCCGCCCCGCACCTCCCCCGCCCCGCACTGGCCATTGGCTTGTCCTGGTCTCTTTTTCATGTCCAGCCCCTGATGTGTGTCCATTGGTGTGAGCTTCCCCTTCCCTCCTCCCCTTCTCTCCTGCTCGCCCTGCCCATGTTTTGTGTGTCTCTGTCCATCCAGACTCCTGACGTTCAAGTTCGCAGGGACGTCACGTCCGCACTTGAACTTGCAGCTCAGGGGGGCTTTTGCCATTTTTTTCATCTCTCTCTCTCTCTCCCTCTATCTCTCTTCTCTCTCTCTCTCCTTTTTTTTTTTTTTTTTTTTTTTTTTTTTTTTTTGCTTAAAAAAAAAAAAAAAGCCATGACGGCTCTCCCACAATTCATCTTCCCTGCGCCATCTTTGTATTATTTCTAATTTATTTTGGATGTCAAAAGGCACTGATGAAGATATTTTCTCTGGAGTCTCCTTCTTTCTAACCCGGCTCTCCCGATGTGAACCGAGCCGTCGTCCGCCCGCCGCCGCCGCCGCCGCCGCCGCCGCCGCCACCCGCCCGCCCCGCAGCCCACCATGTCTCGCCGCAAGCAAGGCAAACCCCAGCACTTAAGCAAACGGGAATTCTCGCGTAAGTAACCCAATAATAGTAATAATAATTATTAATAATCACGAGAGCGCGCAGGACTAGAAGCAAAAGCGAGGGGGAGAGAGGGGTGTGTGCATACATTTTTAAATTTTTCACGAGAAAAACCTCCAAGAGTCGAGGTAGAAGAGATTAAAGGGAGAAAATAAACCTCATCCCATCTCGAACCATTGCCATGTATGCACTTTTGAGACAGCACGCACCTTTTAATTTTATTTAATTTTACAAAAATTTGACTCCTCCTCTTTCCTCCTTTCCGCCGCTTTATTTCTCTGTTCGAAAAGGAATGCAATGATTCCCCCCCCCCCCCAGTTTTGCAAAATAATGAACAATGCTAAGGATGCGAACTACTCAATGGCAAACCTGGGGGTGGGAGCTGGTGGGGAAAGGGAGGTTGCTTCCCACTCTCTGTAAGAAAATGGGGGGAGGGAGGGAGTGAGTGCAAGTCTGAAAAACGATTCCCGGGGAGAAAAGAGGTGAGACTGGCCTTTGGACACCAGCGCGCTCACGGTCAAGTGTGCAGCGGGAGGAAAGTAGTCATCCCCACAATAGTGAGAAAGTGGAACTGTGGAAAGGGGCCCCCGGCGCTCCCGAGTCCGCCGAATCGGGAGAGGGGCCGTGGCGGCGGGGAAAGCCGTGGGACCGGGAAGGACGGGAGACGCGGCCGGCACTGCCGCCTTTTGTTCCGGCCCGAGGTGGGTGTTTGTCCCGCTGCCTTTTGTGCCGGTTCCTCGCGCTTGCCCTCCCGCGCCGCCGCCGCCGCCGCCGCCGAAGGGCAGGAGCCAGGGCCCGGGGAGGAGGCGGCCGGGGGCACGCGGGAGAGGGAGGGAGGGAGCCCGGACTGCCACCGCCTGGGTTGCCGCTGCCCGCCCCTCCCGACCCAACCTCAGAAGTAGCAAGGAGAAGACTGGCACATAAATAAATACATACATAAAAATAAAATAAATAAAACAAGGCAAGAGAATGTACAATTTCTTGCCCCCAAACCGAGGCCAAACTCTCTGCCAGCACTTCTCTGTGACGATCTTCTCTTTGACTCCCCCACTACCCCCCCTGCAAAAATCTCACAATCTCTAATCTATAAAAAAACTTACAATCACCCCGTTCCCCAAAACCCCTTCAGTTGCAAACTTAGGGCGCCGGCGGCACGGAGAGGGAGAGAGGAACTCCCTCCTCTTACTATTTTTTGGAAGATTTTCAAAAAAAGTGGAAGTGGATTTTGATTGGGAAAAATCTCGTGTCTGAATGTTTACAAGCACCGCGTGTGCGGGAGCCTCCTGCCAACAAACAGACAGAGGACCGAGCGCGGCGCGGCAGCCCGGGAGCAGGCGGCGGTGGCGGCCTGGCCTCGCCCGGGCCTTGCCCGACCTCGCCGCGTCCCAGCCCAGCCCCGGATCGCCCACCCGGCGCCCGCCGCCCACCCGCCAGGCACGGCGGCAGGCCGCGCAGTGACTCCGCGCCAGCCTGGCCGGCGATCCCAGTCCGCCCTCAGCACAATGCCCAGACCTCTTCTCGACCTGCCAGACTGCGAAATCGGCTGCGTGAAACTCGGCTTTGCAAAGGATTTTTATTTTGCAAAGCAACTGTAAAAGCGCGTTCTGCGGCTCCCCTCCCCTCTGCCCTAGGTACTCTCTCAGATGTCTCTTGTCCACAGCTCCGGACAGCGGGGAGGTCACCACGTGCTTTCCCTGCCCCCCCACCTCCCGCCCAATCTGGTCACCAGTCCCCCTGCGCCCGAGCACGGCCAGGCCAGGTGGTGGGGGTGCCGGGGGAGGGCAGGGGAGAAGTGTGTTTGAGTACACATTTTGGGGGTGCTGGATCCTGGGACCCCGAGCACTTCACCCTTTGGGTCTTGCCCTTCTCCCAGGACCTGGCTGGGTCTGAGGTTCTTGTAAGTTTATATAAGAGGTGGTGGTGCTGGCTGTCTCCCGCTGGCTGGCCTCTCCTGGAAAGGCGGGCGGTGGGCACTTAGGAAAGTTTGGCAGCAATGGAAAGAAAGGCGTGAGAGGGCCCACATCCCCCCCGCTACCCAATTTATGATTCTTAAATTTTGGATGCAGTTTTAAAGGACCAGCTATACTTGGTTTTGTGTTTTTTAAAGGGGTGGTGGTGGTGGGTGCGCCCAGGGAATTGAATTTTTCACTGGGCCCTGGAACTTGTCACACACTTCGGAAGCTCCCCCGCCCCGGCACGTTGCGGGGCCCTCCCTCTTCCCACCCCCGCGCATCCCTCCCTCGCCTCTCTCCCCCGCCCCCCACTCCCCCGGCCGCGCCGGATGCTGATCAGACTCGGCGCGCGGCGGTGTGAAGTTACAGCCCGGCCAGGTATCGGCGGGAAGGAAGGGCAGTGTTCGCAGGACTCGGGAAAGCCAGGCCCTTCTTCGGAAGGATGCAGAGGGGGCTCAAAGGACGGACTGGGGCGCGCAGTCCAGGCTGCTGCCTTGTACCCCTCTCCGTCTTGAGTCCATCTTGGGACACTCAAGGCTGGGAGGGTTAGTCCCCCTTCCTCTTGTTCCGGTGCCGGCAGTGGGTTAAAGGGCCAGTTTAGAAGGGGGTGAGGGGGACACTTCTTTCTCTCATTTTCTGGGTGCTCAGAGGGGGCAAGAGCCATCCCCGTCATCAGGACCCCCCCTCTCCCGCCTCTTCTATGTGGTCTGAATGAGCCATTCTGTCGCTAGGAGGCAGAACAAGATCAAGAAAGCTCAGCGAACTTGAACCTGTACCAGAGCCTCCCCCACCTCCTGCCAGGCGATTCTCGTCCGGGGAGGAACGAGCTTGAGAGTGGGGGTGGGGGGAAGGAACGGTTAGGCAGAATTCCCTTTCTCTCCCCCATCACCCCGTATGTCTTTGTTCTTCATTTTGACTTTTAAAATGCTTCTGGCCGGGGCGGCGGCGAAGCGACCGGGCGCGCGGCCGACAACCCCGTGCGCGAGCTGAGACCAGCGCGCGCCGGGCTGGGAGCGGGGTGCAGTTTTCGCTTTCTTTCGGGGCGGGCATTTTTGGTAGGGAGGAACGGGGAGTTCGCGCTCTAGGGCTTCGGGGTATGGCCGAAGTGGGGGATTTGGCAAGTTTGCACTTGGTCTCTGGGCCCACTTCTTCCACCCCCTCACCCCCACGCAAAGCACAGACCTCGGTGGCCTCGGCTGGCTTGCTCGGCGGCTCTGCAGCCCGACACCCCCCTCTCCCCGCCTCCCGTGGCTCTCGCCTCGGAGCTCGGAATCACAACAATAGTAATAGTTATCATCATAATGATGCGGGCAAACAGCGTCATTAATAATGAATAACCGCAGCCGCCGCCGCGCGCACACCCAGTGCCCAGAATTGCGGGGGAAACGCATTTGCAGAGATACCCCAAAGTAAAAGTGTAAGCTTGTGGACACCGAATGAATTTCAGGACCCGCGCTTGGGGTGTGCATGGAGGTACTGAGACTGCACCAGGTTAACCAGCCGGGTTTTCCAAACCTCACGTCCTTTTTCACCAGCTGGCGGGCCCAGGGAACCGTCACCCCGCGGCCGAGCTGGACGGGCATGGAGGCAGCAGTCAGGGCCCCTGGCTGCCCTCCGCCTCGGGCCCTCGGGCCCCGCGGCCCCGCGGCCGCTGCTGCACGTGTTCGCAGCAAGCGCGGCGGGAGCCTGCAGCCTGCACGCTGCTCGCTTTGTGCCTGAGTCCCGGCGCCCAACTTCACTTTCTGCACAGTCCACCCCTGCCAGGCCCCCTGCCCCGGGCCCGTAGCCCCCGGCTTTGCTTTTGTTTCTTTGCTTTTCCTCTCTGAATTTCAGTCTCCGTTTGCTTCTTTACCCGGCTAAAACAATCAAGGGGAAGGACTTGGAAAGCAAACTTGAAGACACATCTCCCTTTTCCCCTCCCCCTCCGCTCCCCAGCAGCTCTCGTTTCTCTCGTTCCTTACCGACTTTTCTTATAAAGATTATTTTTTTCCTTAAATTTATTCTTTCGCAACTACACAGAGAGGAAAGATATCTCAGTCTGCCACTAGGACATTTAGACGTTCCAGGCTGTCTTGCTGTTTGAACGTAGAAGCATTTTATTTTCTATTTCTTCCTCCCCTTGTAGAGAGAATTCGCAGCTAATTATTATGATTATTTGCCCACTCCCTTCCACTTCAATCGAGGACTCCCTGCTTTGTAGCCCGAGTTTAGGCCGGAGCTTAGAAACGTTGGTATTGTTGGGGCGATGGAGGATGGAGCTGAATTGAGGGAGGGGGTAAATGACTGAGGTTAGGAAGGTTTTTAGGGAAAGGGAATTTGCATTAAAATGCAGAGAAATTATCAGATGCCCAGAAAGGAAATGTTGATTGCCACTGAGAAAAGATGTCAATGCAAATCAGTAGATTACACCATGAGAATTGTATTTTCATATTTTCTTTGTGTCCCACTTTGTCTGATTTTTAATAATATAGCAGCAATAATAAAAACACATTTTGATATTTCTCTGAACATGACTAGCCAAATGTTTTGCAAGGAGACCGATGTTAAATGTATTTCATACATTAGGATATAATTCTTGTTAATTAGCAATAATTTACGTTAAGAGCATAGAAAATGTTGAGGTTACAGGTTTTATATCTGTACATTTGATCATCTTGTTATTTTCAAGAACTTTGCCTCCTATAAAATTAATTAGGTGAAATGTGGAGGTGTAATCAGCAACCTCTGAATTACCACTTCATTTCCCGGTTTTGATTGTAAATCAGTTCAGTCACTACATTTAGAAGACTTTAACCAAGTCTGTTTTGAACCACATTACCTTTAACTATTTGATACCTAGGAGAATATTTCCTTTTGCACCTAAATAATATTCCCACTTTCAGAAATGTGTCAGGCCTTGGGAATTTGAAAAAATGAATCTTAACGGTGGAATTAAAAAAATTTTTTTTGCAAAGGTTCCATGTGTTACTAATTCTGATAAAATAAAATATTTTCTTGAGTCTTCCTTCAGTCTGCGAACCTCAGAACTTGTAGCTAATGCTAAACAAAAAGCCACATTTATAGATGTGTACTTAAAATCCTTAATTCAGACAACAGGAATATTTGGAGAATGAGTTCCCTATTCCTCACTTGGCCAAAATGAAAGCAAATGTAAGAGAAAAATGACATAAAGGCACAATGCAGAAGCACTTCCGTTTGTCTTCTTTTATTTGAAAAGTATGCATATGTTTTCTGTATTTATCTTTTGGCCAGTATGTTGGGCAAAGAAACATAAGTGCTTACTTTACTGTCTTTATTAGTAGGAATATAACCTTCATATTCCTGTGGTGACCTTATGTTAAATTAGGAGGAGTACCAGAGGCTAGAAATTATGAGATGTCCTACTTGAGCACAGGTGCAGCTAGGCAGGGCTCTCTCAATATTATTTCACCTAGCACATCTGGGAGTTACTCCAGATCTTCCCCCGCAATATTCAGCCTGGGTAGGGTTGAAATAAATTTAACCTGAGTTCACTGGATTTTTGCACTTTATCAAAATCTGTTCCAATATTCTACACTCAAATTAAAATCTATTTTTTGATTCTCTGTGGCTTTAAGTTCATTAAATGTGAAATTGGCAGCTTGCTAAAGAAGGTCAGACTGATTAACTGTTTAAGACTTGTACATTTTCTGCTTCAGTTTTATTAACTGGCAGCATCCTGGATGTGTTTTGTATTTTGTGATTTTTTGTTTTTTTTGTTTTTTTGATAGAGCAAGCATAAGGTTTCACAAGAAGAGACTTACCAACTCTCTTTTCCCCTTCGGAAGGTTAAAAAATGATAGAAGCTGGTAAAGTAGATGCTGGAGTATTTTGGTGCAAAGTTAAAAAAAAAGCAAACAGCAAAGAAAGACATGTCTACCTTGTTATACCATCCGCTGGTGATTATGTGTGCAGAAATAGTCTCATAATGAAGCATTTTGGAGCTCATTCAGAAAATTAGTCAACTTTGAAAACATTAGGTGAAGTATTTCAAGTCTAAAGAAAGGACTTCTCAGCCTCGCTCTAAAATGTGGTGTTTGCTTGACCATTCTGATTTTTAGTCATGGATGGCACCAAGTGCAAACACGTTTAGAATAGTTTAGGCACTCCTTTTCTCAGAATAAAAAAAATGACTAATTGGCTTATTTTCTTAAGTACTCAAAAGTATCCCATTTAGCTAATGTGTCTGAGAAGTATTGCCAGTGAATTTGGTATTTCTTTGATTTTGTGGCACTGCTGAGAGTGAGAGCAGAAAGGTTTTTGGCAGTATGAATTATGCTACGACATGATTATTATTTAGACCCTTTTCCTAGGTACATGCAGTCATTTTTGTGTTACGGCAGTGTAAATGTGGCACATTTTTCGTGTGACATAGTAGCTTTCTAATTTATGAAGCCATGTCTGTATACTTAGGAGTATATACATTCACACACAAAGGGTGTGTGTGTTTATTCACCTCTTCTTTCATTCTTTGGCACAATGGACAACATAGTGTACAGGAAAAAAGAAAAAAATTTGGTTTCTATCCATGTTTTTTTTTTTTAACCAGTTTTTCTTGTAGTTATTATTTAAGCTTTCTTTATGTTCCCTATGTTAACTATTTAAGTAGTATTCTTTCTAAACTTACAAACCAGACATTTGTTGCTGTGTGTGTGTGCATGTGTAAATGTGTGTGTGTGTTCTCTGGAGTCATGAAGTAAGACTGTTTTCTTTACATGCATGATGATTTGCCTCATTGATAAATTTGCTCTCTTGTTGATAACCTTCACATCCTTTTACATTTTGTATGCTCACATTTTCTGGATATTACATAGAGAAACCTAGAAACACTTTATATGATGTGGTGGGATGGCATGGGGTTGAGATGTGCTTTCCCCCTTTTCTCTCCTCTCTGGCTCTCTAATAATTGTGCTTTTGTTTCTCCAACCACAGCCGAACCTCTTGAAGCCATTCTTACAGATGATGAACCAGACCACGGCCCGTTGGGAGCTCCAGAAGGGGATCATGACCTCCTCACCTGTGGGCAGTGCCAGATGAACTTCCCATTGGGGGACATTCTTATTTTTATCGAGCACAAACGGAAACAATGCAATGGCAGCCTCTGCTTAGAAAAAGCTGTGGATAAGCCACCTTCCCCTTCACCAATCGAGATGAAAAAAGCATCCAATCCCGTGGAGGTTGGCATCCAGGTCACGCCAGAGGATGACGATTGTTTATCAACGTCATCTAGAGGAATTTGCCCCAAACAGGAACACATAGCAGGTAAATGAGAAGCAAGGAGAAAAGCTGTTTGCATGTTTTCTTTTCATTTTCAGAGGTGCTGTAGCCAAGCAGTAAGGAGTGGTGAAGTGCTTTCTCTATTTCTCCATGTGACTGTCCATGACAGCCCTGTAATGTTAAAACAATCATTTCTATTGCTTACGTCCAGAACACGGAAAGATAAATATTTTCCACCTCACCAAATCAGATGTAGGCAGAATAGGTACACATACCAGACACCCTCTCTCTGGGTTCGTTGATTTTGGATTTCTTTTCTTCCCTGTCCCTACCTTCTCATTCTGAAGCATTGGTCTTTACTACACCTAGTCCAGCTTCCATTGTCCATTTCCAGCCTTGGTGACGTGTCAGAGGCAAAGTGGCCATATAGGCATTTACAGTTCAGCCAATGACTTGTTTGACTCAGAACATCTGGTTAGGCCTCCTTAGGGGTTCAGCTCGTTCTCAAGGCATCGCTGAAGTAGGGTGGGCTGGCAGGGTAGTTGGAGGAGGTGGAAAGAGTTAACTGAGCTTCAGGGTTAGCCTTGGATCCATATTGGCTGTCAGCCCGGATGGGGCTGTAATTAAACACAGCCCCGTGGTGGGATGACACCATGACCTTGACTTTAAGATGCCATTTTCGACTGGCCAGGCCAGAGTAGAGAGGGCAGTTGCTGAAGCGCACAGACATGCTTACTCGAAAAGTTTAAGGGCATGTTGGAAATTTCAAAAGGTTGGTTTGACAGGAACGGCTGCTCCCTGCAGCCTGCCTCCTCAGCTAAATGATAAATGCTTCTCTGTGCTCTCTCTTGTCTCTGATGTGGTTTTGACAGATGTATCTTGATTTTGTTTGTGGTTTACACAGCCACATGTCACCCTTACAAATGTCCAGTCCAGACTCCACTGTTTCTGCTATAACACAATGTAAAAATTTTCTTGGAAAAACACACACACGTATTCAACAGCCCTCCCTCCTTCAGTTAATTTTAGCAGGGAGGTAGCTAGGTGTGTGGCTTTCTCGGCAGCTCAAGGGAAAAGGCATTAAAGGCTAGCAGTGGGACTTAAATTCCCTATTCTAAGTAATAAACAGAAATACTTTATAGTGACCCTCAAAACATTTTTTGATTGAGTATGTTAGACAAAGTCAATGCAGATTCTGTGATGACTGACGTGCCATGCCTGTTAGTGGATCACTTTCTTCCATCAACCCCCCATCCAGCTCCCAAAAGGCAAGAGGTTTGTTCAGTTTTAGGAAAGGTAGTGTATATCGTCAATCGATTCACTGGAACTTATCTCTCGGACCTAGTTTGACCACAAAGTTGAACCATAATAGGTCAGTGGTCCAGAGGGGATTAAATGTCATATTATTTCTCCTCTCCCACTCTAGAATTTGATCATTAAAACCAAATGTGGCATTTTCTTTCTTTTTTAAATGCTTTCTGTAATAGCACTCAGATACTTTCCCTTTAGTGAAATGAGAAATCTGCTGCCAGGGAAGCTGCATTTGCAGAGTATATTTCTTGAATCCACCACATTTACCTTATGTGACGTGTAGGTTAAGATTTTATCTCCCCTTCCCCCCAGTAGGCTATGGGAATGACCATTTCCATGTGTTGTCTTGTGACTGGAAGGAAAATGAACAGAAGTGTAAGGCATGATTAATGAAGCAAGAGCAGGCGGAAGGGGATTTGTCGTCTTCGGAGATCCAAAGCCTTGCTAAATCACCAAATATGGAGTAACACTTGCGTGATGTAACATCGTATTTACATATCGAGCTGCTCGTTTAAAAGACAAAACACAGTGTCTGTCAAGCAAGAATTAAAACCACACTTCTTACTGAGGTCCCAAATAGGTTATTCAGTCTCAGATTAACCAGCTCAGAAATTCTGTGCCTTTGTATTTAGAGGAAGAATCTAAAAGCTGGGGAGAAGGCCTTACGTACAGTTAAGGCTTTTACTGCTATAGTTGTGAATCTATGTAGGGGAATAAAAGATATTTGCTTGAACTCCCTGGTTGTCTGAAGGTTCTGTTATTATTTTTTAAAAGAACGAGTACAATAGCAGAGCCTAGAGAAGCCAAAACCAAAAGCAAATTTAAAATATGTTTTACAGCGCTAATAACCAATCATTTAACTGGGACGAAAAGCTCTCTAAGATAGCTCAGATTATTCAATGGGCGCACAACAAGTGCTTCGACCTAGGTGAGGTAAACCTTTCGTGCATGAATAATTACAAAGTCTTGATTTCTTTCACCGTGTTTAATCACCTGTTCCCACTCTGGAATTGGCTGAACATAAATAGTGTGGTCACATCTCAAAGTGAGATGTCAGCAACTCGAATCACGACTTCTCATAATTCACAGTAATGAATTAAGAGTTTCCTATGGTGAAATTAACATTCTACCATTGCACATAAATTCCGATGCTCTGGCCCTCAGGTGCCCCTGAAGCGAAGTTCTGGAAGACGGCTGCGTGTGTACCCCCAGCCCATTTCTCTAAAGCACGTCTCCACAATTCCAAGGCTGCTTTTCTTTTTATATTGAGGAAGGAAACAATAACAGTAATCATTCAGTAGATATTTGAATTGTGTCACAAAAAGAAAGGAGAAGCAATGCTTTGTATTAAGGAAAGAGATATATTGATGAATCTCTAGAAGAATATGTTTGGCAACCACATAAAAGGTAGTCATTTAAGCATGCTGGGTAGGAAAGGCTTTATTAAAGTGATGTAAGTTGGATTTGAGTTCACAGTGAGCCTGTACCATTTTATAGACAGGAAGCAAGAATAAAACAGTGACAGATCTTCTTCCTAAGATAAATAAAGCTTAGAATTCAGGCTTTCAGATAGGAGAATAAGGCAGAGTTCTTTAAATCTTGAGTAAAATGGTATGCATTTTAACTGTACTCAGGCCTCTCTAAGCTGAGTGGTTTTTTTTGTTTGTTTTGAGACGGAATTTTACTCTTTTTGCCCAGGCTGGAGTGCAGTGGTGCAATCTCGGCTCATGCAACCTCTGCCTTCCCGGTTAAAGCGATTCTCCTGCCTCAGCCTCCCAAGTAGCTGGGATTACAGGCATGCACCACCATACCCAGCTAGTTTTTTGTATTTTTAGTGGAGACAGGGTTTCATCATGTTGGCCAGGCTGGTCTCGAACTCCTGACCCCAGGTGATCCACCTGCCTCGGCCTCCCAAAGTGCTGGGATTACAGGGGTGAGCCACCGTGCCTGGCCCAAGCTGAGTATTTTTTAGAGAGGATTCTTTTTTCCTGGTGAATAGACAGGCACGTGCTCCCCTACCTCATCCACATACACATATGAGCTGTACACATAGATGTTGATCAGGTTGCTTTTTTCATTTTATTTAAATATTAAAAATATTGTGTGATTGTGATCCACTGAGATCATTGAAATAGTATTAATTTATCTGGGAATTAACAGCTTATGTTGTGTGGGCCCAGTTCATCAATATGTGTGTCAAATATCTACCCTCAGATATTAGCAGCCTTTGACTTGCAGTCAGAGCTTTCCGTAGGGGTTTTGTTTTGTTTTGTTTTAGTCTCATATTTTATTATGGGGGAAATATTCATCGAAGATTACTGAATGTGAAACTACTGTTCTATTATAGAAAAGACCCAAACATTATCCCATCATGTCAGATTTGAGGTTTTGGCTTAATGCACATAGGAATCTTTAAATTAGGTTTGGGCTGTCATAAAGTTAGCTTTTTGAGAGAATAGAGAAAAAATATGACAAGTCCTATAAAATGTAGTAAAGTCTGCTGCTGTTGATATATAACATTTTTCTCTTTAGAATCATGAAAATAGACATTTATATCAGGGTATTTAAAATTATTTGCCTAGACAGTGTAGCTGGTATTTAGGTAATGATATATCAGACAGATACTCCAAAGAAGGGGGATTTACCAATTCAAAATGGAAATATATTAGCATGCTACTTAAAAGTAAATCAAATATAATATGCTTTTCAGAATTTAGAAAATCAACTCACCTTTTTTTGTATCCATTCTTATTCTCTCCTAGCTCAGACTGAACTGGAGGATGTACTTGTGTACCTTATGGTGTAATTATAAATGAGACTATAAATTATAGTATGCTATTATGACTACTTATTTTTCTTTTCTCTTTATTTATGCAATTCTGAATAAAAATGACTGACCTCTAAAGTGAATTTTCAGCATGGCAGTTAAAACAAACAAACAAACAAACACAAAACACCACTACCAAAAAACAATATACTGGTGAACATTTTATTTACCTTTAGAATCCAGCGAGTAGAGAATATTTGTTTCCTAATAAAGACCTAGGATTTTCATAGGGAGCCTATGTGTGCGAGGCCACTCTCCAAAGATCCATGTTCATGAAACTGGGAGTCCTATATACAAGCTGTATTTGTAAATAAGACAGAGAAAGGTTGTGAACTGGCAGCTTGGATGTTTTGTCAAAGTACAATGTCAGAGAAACTCTTTCTAAGACAAATTGTAAATAGAACTGTCACAGTGATTGCATGATTGAGCTGCAGAAGTGTCCTACAATTGTTGGCATTGTCAGGACTTTTGAAAGCTTAATTAAACACAGTGGCCCGCATGGCTGCTAAATTTACTAAGGAAAGCCAAAAGGAAAAAACAAAAATCTAAAATGTACAAGATCCCAAAGATCCCAAACTTCTTTAGACATTACCCTTGTGGTGACACAGAAAAGACGCATTGTGCATTTTCCTAGTCATCTTTTATAAATAATAGTTTTGAGAATAGGTCCACGTGATATGAAGATCATCCTGTGTATGATGTGGAGATTGTGTTAGTTTTTCTGTCTCCTGCTGTTACAGACAGTTAATGTAAAAATGGCCTTTTATTGCAAACACAAATATGTATTCACTTCAAGAACAGGATCAGAGGGGGACAAAGTTTCCCTCCCATTCTCTACGTTTATTCTGTAAAAGCTTAAAAAAAAAAAAAAAAAAAAACCACCAGTGCTGTAATTTCTTAAAGCACC